CAGTATTTTGCTGCATAAGTTAGGACTCACGACATGATTTAATAACGCTCGTGGGAAAGGGAAGAGCTTCCTTTATACTTCTTACAGTGGGTTGTACTCTTAGCCAACTTTAGACTATTGCCTGTACAGCTCAGTGAATGTACTTTAAACTTTATGAGCTCTGATATTTCCTGGCAGTTATATCCATGAAGGGATGAAGGAAAGAATGGACAGGTTTCTTTTCTCTCTCCTTCTTTCTTTTTATTCCTCTCTCTTTTTCTCTCTTTCTCCCCGTTCTCTCTTTCTCTCTTTCTCCCCCTCTTTCTCTCTTTCTTTCTTGTTATTTTATTGCATTTGGATTGCAAATGTTTTGCAGATTTTGCACAATTGTACAGAAGAGTGGCCTTTCTGTAGCCCATTTTCAGTAATCCTATATTCAAGTCGATACAGATGACAAATCATGTATTAACATTTGTATAGAATTCTGGATCCAGTGTAATATTTGTACCATTAGAAGAATATTGTTTGTATAAACTGGACATTTATTTACTGCATGGGTACTGACTTGTATATTAAATTTGTGAGGTTTTTGTAAATTTCTCTTAAAAAATGCTTGACTTGAAATGGGTTGTGCTATTGTTCCAAGCATTTAGATTCTCCTGCTACTGTTTTACTGGACCAAAAGTAAATATATTCCTATAAAGAACTCTTTATATCTGATGGATGTATATGCACATTGTGTAGTCGATTCCTTGTCAAAACCAAGGCAGTTCAGAAGACTTAGATCTGTTGCTATGCAACAGCTATTCTGCCTGCACTTTACATTAGTAAAGTCAGCTTGATTGCTTTAAAGGTGAAAATTAAACATTACAGTTTTTTAAGCTAGTCTAGTGACAGAGAACATGTGTCCTATCCATTGTGCTGCCTTCTTTTAAGACTATTAAATGTTCTTCTATATATATTTTTATTGTATTAACTCTCAGCCTAGAAAGGGAACACTGTAAAATGAAGTACAATAAATTTAGCTTTTAAATGAACATTTGTGACTCAAGATTCAATTTACTCCATACCAAAGTGGTTCTGCAGCATCGGACCGTTTTGTCTGCATTTCACAGATACGCGTGCCTTAAAGTACCCCCATAATCTGTGCCTTTGAACTCTGCCAACATGGCCAAAAAGAAGTAAGGCTATTGCTGTTTCGGATGTAGGCAGGTGCTGAATAAAGACTTCTGAAAACCTTCAATTACCCCCCTCCCCATTGTACTCTTTGATGAAAGTAAACCTCTTTTGACTGCGGGATTCCCTCATGTACTAGTTCAACAGCTATGAACAATTTTACCGTTTTGACCTGGTACGATAAAGCAGCATATGCTACCGAGGGAAGTATCAAGGCATTAGTTACAGCAACTCTGGTAACATGTTTCTTAGAGGCTAATAATAAGTATACCCATTCAGCTCTGGCCATCTAAACTAACACAAGGTTCGGATACAAACGAAATGTACTGTACCTGTAGCGTGCATCTTTAAAATAATGCAAAATAAGCATCTGAAAGGCAGGCTACAACAAAGGCTGCTCAGAGAGAAGTGGCTTCTATGAAACAGTCACTGTTTTAACTTATGGCCGTAACTGAGTCTACATATCAAAAAATCCATGCTTTCTGTCCAGTAATTTCATGCTGGTTAGCTAAGACATTCTTGCCTAGTATGTAGCATATCAAATAATACCTTTTCCTTGGCAGTACTTATTATTAGTTCTTGTAGGCATCAATTTTCTAGTCTTTATACATCTCACTTTCATTTTGCTTAGCCATAGCATAAAAATTCAATAGCACTTACCAGCTGGGAAAACTACCTCTGATTAAGAAAACAGAAAAGATGGATTATATTTTTTAACCTTTGAAAAATCTGACTTGCAACACCTATTAGTTGCTATCTAGGTATTATTCTTCAAAAGTCAAGGATTACGATTCTTGCTCATTGCCTCTAAACGTGCTACTTGCTACATCCTTCCACAGTGAGAGTGGCTTCCAGCTCTATAAATCCCGACACCTTTTCCTGTGCTGGAGCCAGATCTTCTTGCCTGTTTCCACCAAGCATTTGGTTTATCAAAGCAAAACCTCCACGCCGTCACGTCCAGTGCCATTGCAATTTTCTTCTTCTTCTCTAGGACCCCGCTGCTGGCTCATCTCCTGGGATGATTATTCCGCAGCACATGAGCTCAGTAGTTCGGCAGCCTCTTCTGCTGGCTGTCGCCATCCTGCTCATCGGCCAGTTCAGAGAGTTGCAGCACCGCACACTGCAGCCCACACCAAGGCAAGGGGGCTTTGCAGATCTCTTCCCAGCCATCGTTGTCAATGTCGTAGCCAACCACATCTTGCGTGGGGACTTCCCGTGAGTTTTGCCATTTCTTTCCCCCGATAAGAAGAGCCGTTTCCTCTACCACTGCCAGGCCATAGCAAAATCGATCATAGGTCAATGGCCTTAACCGAGTCCATTGGTTTTGATCAGGGTCGTATCTCTCTATTTCAGAGAATGGTTCATATAATCCTAAAAAGGTGAATATGGCTTCTCTGATTGTTGCCATCTGATGCCCAAACCGAGCAATGCTCATGGGGGCTTGTTTCATCCACTGCCCTTCAAGTGAGCTCAGAGAATATACGTCCTTGCTTGTGTCAGCTGGGTCCGAGTACTTGCCGCCTGAGATGTATATAGTGTTCTTGCAAATGGCACTGGCATGGCCATGTATCTTGCATGGCAATTCCCTGGCCTTCGTCCATCTGTCCCTGCTGATGTTGTAGACTTCCACAGATGAATGCAGAGACCCATCCTCACCCCTTCCACCAATGGCAAAGATATCCTTGCCTAGGACACAGCAAGAAAACTGGCATCTCTTTTCTAACATGCCTGTGATTTGGGTCCACGTGTTAAATCTTGGATCATAACGATGGACCTTGTTCGTAACCGATAAGATTGCTTCAGTTTTAGCATCAGCCGGGGCACCACTTTCTATTTCCCCACCCAAGACATAGAGGAAGTTCCCCACCACACACACGCTGTGGTTCTGCACCCTGTCCCGCACCTGCGTGAGAGCTCGCCATTTGTGATTGTAAACGTCAAAGGCCACCACATCGGTGATGAGCCCCTCGCTTGTTGTACCTCCGCCCAGCAGAATGATCCGAGTTTTCTGGTTCCTCAGCGTGGTGGACTTATCCTGAAGGACAGGCTGTTTGAAAACAGATGTATGGTAATTTATTGCTTTAATGATCAAGCACTTAATACCTGCACAGAGGGGCACTTCTGACTGTGTGTAGGTTTTCCTCAGGTCTTCCACCGGGATGAGGCCATACCTTATGTGCTCTAAAAGGCTGCTTGCGTGAGCCAGCCTGGATTTATCCTGCTTCAGCCACAGCAGCACAAGATTCAGCAGGCGGGTTTCTTTCACCATGGGGAGATCTGGGGATTCAACCACTGCTAGCAAAGACCTGAAGTTCAGCTCGAGCAGGCCTGTCAAATCCAAGTCCAGCAGCTTCCAGAGATTATTGACAATGTATTTTTCTGTTGCTGCTAAGGCATCGGGCAGGTAGAACTTCCTGGCCACGTTGGCAGAGAAGCAGCAGTTTTCTAAGGCAAGATTGTTAACTAAGTACTGATTGCACAAGCCAATAGCATCAGTCACTTGCAAGTAGCTTGCAGCTTCCAAGGTATCCTCCAGGCTTTCAAAGGAAAGGGGCAACAAGGAAGTGTAAATGAAATCCAGGATGTGCTGGAGACCGGTGGGTGAGACGACTTGCAGGTGAATTACACTGGCTTTAGATTCTCGGGTATAACTTTTGAACATGGCTCGGAAATAGTCGCTGGAGCACGCCAACAAGGACTTGTGTGCAGGAAACTCATTTTCCTTCACTTTCAGCAAAATATCGCACAGAAAGCCCTCTGATCTCAGGGTCTGGTACTGGGCAAGCACGGCGGTGCAGTGCGCTTTGCAGTAGGAGAGGAAGTAGCTCATGGTAGGCAATGCAATGCTTTCCTCTTGAGTTATTAAAGCTAAAATGCAATTAGATACTGAAACAGCTGCCCTACTCAACAGCCATTGCTTGAATGCCCACCAGACCTCCAGCTGTTAGAGAAAATCCCAACGAAAAAAAATCAGTCTCTTGCCCGGCATAGGGGAACAGTTAGTAGATTTGTAGTGAATTCAATGCATTCCTTTATAGAAAAAACAGCTGAATGTCGTAACAGCTGTAGGATGCTTACTTTTCTCGCCTCCGTCGCTTCTGCAAGGATGAATGGTCCACGGTTGTGCTGAGCACTTGCTTGGCTGGCCATCAGGTCACAGATGAGGGAGCTAGATGACAATCCCAACAAATGACACTTTGTGTCTGCTCAGCCGTCTCCCTCGACACTTCTTGCTCCGCAGGCAGATCAAATAGATCCTCCCTGGCTGCCAGCACATGGCTCTGAGCAGACACAGACGAGAAGGGAGTGCTGGCCTTTCTCCTCTCTTGTTTGTGTTTCAAACTCAAATAAGTTTAGACCTCACCACCCCATGGACAGCAGCCCCCTTTTCGTCCTCTTTTCACCCTCTCTTAGGAAGCCTCAGCCGAAGATCAAATCAGCGCCCAGGGACTATTACGTGAAGATTTTCTAAGGCCATAAATCTTTGCCCGGCAGGCACTAAGACAACCAAAATATCATGATTAGTCACTAGTTCGATTTGACATGCATTTCTGGGCTCTTTGCTTCACATGACACTGGCATAACTCACAGCTACCAGAATAGCCGCAGGCGCATCCCCTCGTCCCCCCTGCCCGGGAGCCGACCCAAGGCGGGCGAGCAAAGGGGCCAGGGACCGGGCAGGCGGAGGAGCTTCCACCAACAGCCGCAGCCAAAGCAGCTGACTTGGAATGGCCTGGCTGGAAATCACAAGGGTAACACATTCGCACAAAGCGGTGACAAAAATAGATTCCTCCAGTTCGGCCGTAATAAACTGAAATCTGTTTATAGAGGAGGCTTTGCATAATTGTGCTCTCGGTTACCAGCTGGGAACAAACTCGGAGCCCCTGAGGATGGGCCGGAGCTGACTCGCTCAGCTTTCTCAGTTTCACTTTGTCCCAATTAGAAGCACGTATATGGGGATTATCCCTGATTTTCACCCAGGCCCTTCAGGATCTAATTTCTACCAGGAATAGTAGCTCTGGGCGGACTACACATTCTGACCTCTTAAAGCTTGCTTTTATTTGGGTTTTTTTTCCCCTGAATAACTCTGGGTGGAGGTGTTCAGGAGTCTCCTCCTGACACCTTTCTTTCCAGGTCAAAAATGCTCAGGACTTGCAAACCTTGACAGGGCTGATAAATGCCAGACCATTTTGCTGCATCATGAGCCAGCAGACCTGGGGGGAGAGGAGGATCTCTCAGGACTGAAAAATTTCACCTTTTGCTCAAGCCAAAGGTAAAGCCTTTTTACTATATTTGCTTATATTTCTTTATGTGATGTCATGAAATTCTGGCTCACCCCTGTAATCGAGGGTGTTTGTGAGCTGACTGGATCCTAATGTGGATCATGCATGCCATGCGACTGGTCTAGTGACCCTAAGCTGTCTTGCTAAGCAGACCGATACCTACACATGCTCTGCTCTGTTTGTGGGGAAGGACTGCAAAAACATCGTTCTTCATTGCTGTATAGCTCTGAAAACTGATTTACTGCTTGAACCCACTTTCCATCATGATATTATAGACCATAAATCAGGATCTTGCTAAAAAATCTTCCCCCCTGCTAGCAAAATGACATGTACGGGCAGTGGGGATGAAGGAGGAAAGGAATGCCTTGTTTCTCTTTCCCAGTGGCTTTGCCTATGTCCGCGTTGGGACACCTCTAAAGTATTTCAGCTGTTGTTAGCAAAGCTGTGCAATTGAGTCCAAGCTTCTGGTTTGATGCTTTTCCTGCTTTGGACAAACCAGAGACCAGGTACCTCTGTCACCCCTCGGCAGTTGTGCATCCTGGTGATGAGGGACAAGGCCTTAAATGCTCCCACTCCCAAAGATACTGCTTTCTCCAGTTTAACCCCATAAGGTACCAGATTTCAATAACACAAGGTGCAGATAAACCTCCACTGTTTCAAAACAGCAAGCCAGTGCTGCGCCATCGCACTTTCCCCAGGAGACTGAGCGGTGAGCACAGGGGAGCACGGGGGCTGTGCCTTCAGTGCAGAATTGAGTCTGAGAAGCATTTCTGCAGCAGCTCTGGCATTACCAAGTCCTGGCACCATGTCCTCTTCAGCAACAGTCCTTGTCCTCCATCAGCCCTTCGCCTGTGCTGCCGTGATTGCTCAAGTCTGGGGGCTGGGAGGTGACACAACCAGGAACTGGGGCTCGGAGTGGAGTGGGAGGAAACCCAAAAATACAATAGCAGAGAGGTCTCTGCAGCCTGGATCAGGTCCTCAGCCTCCCTCACTGTGTGGCCTCCCAAGCTGATGTAGTGCCCCAACCCAGAGCGCAGCAGCCACTGGCTGGGGGGGGGGGGGGGGGGCCCCCCCCCGGGGGGGGCCCCGGGGCCCCACAAGTGGCAGGTCCCTTCCATGGAAGTACTCAAATAATGGACTTTTCCAGTGTAATAGGCTTATGGGATTTTTTTTAGTGTCCTTCTGTGATTCTATCAGGCATTAGGTGGAGATACAGCTAAAAACCAACTGAGCTTTTAAGCTGGGACTGTAGAGCTCTGAATTCTCACAAATATACTTACTGCATATTTATAAGATAACTTTAAAGAAGTGAGTCAACAAAATCTATCATCTCCAGTGTGCTCTATTATGATGGGCTGATTTAAAGCGGGCGGCGGGGCCCCCGCCACTGGGAGAGACCCTTGGCACACGACACCCACCCGATGCACAGAAACTGGACAGGTCTTCTGTCATTGAGCCACGGCCAAGGCCCCCGCAGTGCTGATAAAGTGCTTCATGCATGATGGAAAGCCATAGAAGCAGGGACTGAGGACACCTAATTAATTAAATCCTACTTCCCCTGGATCCAGATGTACCAGAAGGGGGTCAGAGATGTGGCTTGGGCAACTGTGGGTATTGCCAGCAGCAGCCAAAACAAGCTTGCTCCCCCCATCAAGAGATGCACTCACAGGCAAAGGCAACGTGCCTTTTCCCCTCCCTCAGCAAGGCCAGGCCAGAGACTGCCCAGGCTTGCACTGGTTTTGCTGGCGTGTGTAAAGTACCAGCACAGCACCGACTGCAAGCACTGTAACTTCAGAGAGGCCAAATGAGGCTCAGGCTGAACGGCCGTGCCTGTGCCCAGAGTGAGGCCGTGTTAACCCAACTGGTTGTGCATCACTTGCTCTCCAAATGAATTCTGTGCACGAGCTGCAGTTTATACAAGTCAGTTGCCAGCTGATTACAGTGCGTTGCCACAGGAGCCGGTGCTGATTTAATTGAACTGATTTAATACCAGTGTTGGATAAGCAGATCCTATAATTGTATGCAGATTTGCTGTGCGATTCCCTCTCAGACCTCCTTCATCTTCATGGCAAGCCAGCTAATAGAAATGAATTACAAGAATCATGATCCCTATAAAGCTGTTTATATGCCTGGAGATTTTTTTTTTTTCTTTCACTTATAATTGAAATAAAGCCAAATCCTTTCCAGTCCCTTGCTCTGGAGTCACAAAAAAAAGATTCCCATTATCGAAATGAGGTTTCTCCCTGCTCCACTTTTAGGCAGTTAGCTTTGTCTAACTAGGGAGCCTACTCAGCCAGTACCCTCCTTTGTCAAGAGACAAATCATCTCCAGACAGCAGCTTGGGTCTTCAGCACCTTTGGAGGAATATTTAATGTCCATTAGCAAGAGAGAGCAGGCAGTGACTAAACAGCTAACTTATGAATCTCAGGAATAGACCTAGCACTAGGTGGGATGCAGTCAAGCCGTGATCTTATTTTTCTCTGCTGTAATTTGGAAGATCAGATCTAATGTTTGACTCACTAGATGGTGCTTAAAATTAGGGAAACATTAGTGTTTCAATGACATATGATTTGCTGGGAATAGATAATACATTTTTAAGCAAGTGCATCATTTAGACTTTAAATTAGATTTAGATTTCAGGCTTTTAGTATAATTTCTGTTGAAATCATTGCTCTACTACAGTAGACAGTCTACAATAAAAAAGAATATTCAGAGGTGTGCTGTGAAAAATGTCGGCTTCCATGCTTGCAGTTACTTTTTGTCCTATGCAAAGCTGAAAAATGGCCTGAATTGCAATGCCATGTTCAGTGTAATCTTGCAAGTAGGCCATCAGTTAATAAACACTTCAATTACCATTGTAAATTTTCCCAATTATTTTTTAAGAGTAAAGGTTATAAAAAGAGTTGTACAAGTAAAATTAGGCTCATTAGTAACAAGTGGCTTACTGTAAAATATTCATTACAAAAATCCACAGTGGAGGATTTCTAAGTTACACTTTGTACCAGAAGAATTCAGTGCAGTCCAGAGGACAACAGAGCAAACACTTCAGATTCTTGATAATGTGCTGCATGAACAAATACAGCAAAAGTGAGCCAAACGATGAATGTAATAGAGATGATGTAGCATATAGGTTTTCTAGAAACTACCAGTCAGAAAGATTGTATTGATTTAAGTTGTTTTGTAAAAATCATTGGACTAGAGTCTGTATTTCATCCTTGAATAATCATTTACAACAGTATTTGGGTCACCCCATCTATTTAAAGCAAAGGATGTTTAGCCCGGGAAAGCAGTCTTTACGAACAAAACATTAAAATGGAGAAATTTTCTTGCAGCTAAAAGCAATGTATGGCGAGATCATGTCTGTGTATGAAAGCACAGGAGAAAGTTAGCGGCTTGGATGAGGCTGTGAGGTTTCCATTTTGGCAGGCGGAGGCTGGGGACGCATGTGGCTTTAAGCGCTGTCCGTGTGTGAAGGAGGCACTGTCTGCCCCCCGTGAGCTGAGGGAGCGGGAAATCAGCGCAGGGCAGTGCGTCCCCCGGCCTGCCA